ACCCCCTGGACCTGGTGGTAAACTGTGACAAAAGGGACACAAACCAATGGGAACACTAATTAACATGATAACACTCTCACATACAGAATGAAATCCCTCCTCTCCATCCTGGAGATAATTGGCTTAAGGCACTGCAGTAAACTCAATTATCTCCAGGTACAGAAAATATCTACATTTAACACTAACAGCAGAATACGTAAAAGTACATAAAAATACATAATTCTTATTTTATTACACAGAACCCCCACATTTAACCTATCCCCAGATAGCTCGGATCTGAGCGCCCAATCTAGGTGAACAGCACTCAGATCCCATGAACAGAGTAGATTTTCCATGTGGTAAAGCATAGCAAGGGCTGTTGAGAAACCAAGGAGGGACAAAAGCAGTCAGTTCCAACTGGTTTGGCAGTGTGCCTGGGACAACGCCCTGCTGGAGAACAATAGACAGGAAAACGGGGGAGGGGAAGAAACACACCTTCCCATGGATTCAAATGGGAAGAAACTGTCTTTAGAAGCCAATAAGCCCCAAATAGTCTTTTTAAATGGCAATACACCCCAGTCATGAGGAAGGAGGCTGGCAATCAGGCTCCTCCAAAAGCCGGGGGCAAAGGACAGCTTGTCACCTAACAATCCAGGGACAAAAGGCATTTCGTCATTATTATTATTATTAATTTATATAGTGCCATCTCCTGCCACAGTGCTTTACAATATTATGAAAGGGGGGAACATTTATAATAAATTTACAACAAAGGAGAAAAGTAGCATAACTGGAGGTGAGAGTGGAGTGTGGCATATATGAATAGGTATAAGTAAGTTACTTAGCATTTCTAAACAGATGTGTTTTGAGGGACTTTTTAAACAATTGAAGACTAAGGGAGAGTCTGATGGGGGGAGGCAGGCTGTTTTAAAGGAATGTAGCCAAATGCGAGAAGTTCTGCAAGCACGAGTTAGCAGTAAGGGTGCGAACAGTGGAAAGGAGAAGGTCAGTGGAAGAGCTGAGAGACTGAGAAGGGGCATATCTATGAATCAGGAAGAAATGTAAGAGGTGCTAGAGTTGGTTAGAGCTTTATAGGTAAGGGTTAGTATTTTGAATTGACACCTATTGGATACAGGACGCAAGTGGGATCAACAGAGGGGTGAGGTATGGGAGGAGCAACGGGTGAGAAAGATCAGCCTGGCAGCAGCATTTATTACTGATTGTTTTTAAGGTGAAATTGTCTGGTTTTAGCAACGTTCTGGATATGAGGTGCAAAGGTGAGGCAATGATCAAAGATAACACCAAGGCAATGAGCTTGCAAGGACAGACTGATGCAAGTACCATCCACTTGCAAGGAAAGCAAAAGAGGAGGATCAGCATTATGAAGGGGAAAAATAAGAAGTTCAGTTTTGCATAGATTGAGTTTCAGAAAGCAGGAGGGCATCCAATCAGAGATTGAAGAAAGGCAAGCAGTGACATGTTGTGGGACGGGGGATCAGTGGAGGAGAGATATATCTGGATGTTGTCCGCATACAGATAGTAGCGGAATACAAAGGAGTTAATGAGTTTGCCATGAGTGGCAGCATAAAGAGAGAACAGAAGGGGACAAAAAATAGATCCTTGAGACTCCAACCGAGACAGGGCAAATCCTCCAAGGATCTGTCCTTTTAACTCCTGAACTGTTGCCAATCTAATTTTTGACACTGGATATCCCTCTCTCTAAAATTGTATTTTGTACTGTTGCCAAACTCTGCCTTTTCCTCGATATTCCCCCTCTAACTGTACTAGTAATAATCAATTACCTCTGGCAGACCTCATGAATAAATCACTCAAAATATATATATTTCATCCTCTCTGTATTTTACCATTAATATTTTCTACAAAATGTGAGTGTCATCAGAAAATCCATTTCCCCAGAGTATTCAAGGATTTTAAAAGCATGCTTTTATGAGCCCGCAATCTCTCTGTTGCAAACCACTTCATTAAAAAGAATTTTTGTTTTAAAAATATTAGAGCAACATTCAAGCTGCATAGTAAGTACAGAAATGCAGTAACATTTCTGTACTAGTTTTTGTACTACAATAATTACTCTTTTACTATTTAAGTTATTAATCTGTCTTAACAGAAATATTGAAAAAATGAAATGTTTTAATATGTATATAACATCTACAATATCACAAATAAAAATGTGGTTCATATATAGGTGTAAGGAAACCAAGTATATTTAAACCTCATTCGGTAGTTCCCTCCCGAACCGCCAGAGCATTAGTGATTATAGCCCTACGTTTGGTAGATAGGGTAGACAAATCCTATAGCAATTCCAATAGCTTCACAAGAGGATTCCCTTAGTGAAACACACGAATCTCCAAACATCAGCCGAAGTCAAGAAGAAGGGTACAAAATGAACTAGCCTTTAATGGGTGCACACAGCTTTTATGCCTCCCTGAGGGGACAGCCATTAACCAATCACATACAGTAAAACTTCAACACACACCCACAGTTTCCTCCCCTAGCCCAGGAGATAATTCAGTCTGATAAAAGAATAACTTAATTATCTCCGGGCTGAAAAATCACCTTTTTCCCCAATAACTGGAACACCCCTTTATACTTGGGGTATCCCCACAATTCACATGTCCCCTGATAGCCCTGATCTGGGTGACCAACATATCCAAATTTCACCCAGATCGGTTCAGGGGTTCGCAAAAACTATGGAGGTCTCCTGTGACCGGCTCACCCTGGGCTGCATGCCCAAAACAGTTCCATGAATTTGGTGGGTTTTGCCGGTCACTTTAGAAATAGCAGAAAAACTAACAAAGTACCGAATGGATCCCTCTGGCTCCTAGCAGCATTCGTGCCCCTATGTCAAATACACCAAAGTACCGAATAGCGTTCTTCTAGCTATTCGGTAAATAGAGTTCCAGCATTCGTCTGTTTGGGACAGGTGTTTGGGAAGTCGAGTGTCCGTTTTTCAGTTCCATGCACTCGATGACCAGGTCCTGCTGCCTTTGTTCGCATAAACAAAGATGGCCGCGGTTTTCTCTGCCACGTGGGGTTCGACTGTACGAACGCTGGCCGCACAGACAGAGGTAGCAATTTCACCAGACTTTGATGTTTAATGAGCCAGAGGGGTGGTCCTTGTTCGGTAGTTACATCTACCAAATGCAATGGGCAGAAATAGTGTAACAAAAAGTGTATACATAATATAACAAAGGGGGATTTTGTGACAATAGGTTTTACAGAAATAGATACATTAACAATATTCAAAAACACTGGATTCTAACAAAATGCAACAATGTCAATACTGTAAGTCAGCATTTCCCAATTGGTGTTCCGCGGAACTCTGGGGTTCCATGAAAACACAATTGGGGTTCTGACAAAATTTATAAAAACAAAATGGCCACGGGTGGCGAGGAAGCAGTGGGCAGTGATCTCCCTGCTCAGCTCCCTCGCACCGCAGTGATGCCGGAGCCGGAATGACGTTGCTCCGGCATCACTAAGAGGGAGCTGAGCAGGGAGATCACTGCCCACTGCTTCCTCGCCACCCGTGGCCATTTTGTTTTTATAAATTTTGTCAGAACCCCAATTGTGTTTTCATGGAACCCCTGCTGCATCGCCGCCCACACTCCAGCCGCTCAGCAGCCTCACTAGACCCCAGGGACTGGACACCTGCTGCTCAGCAGCCCCACTGGACTCCAGGGACTGCACAACAGCCGTCCCAGCAGCCCCACTGGACTCCAGGGACTGCACGCTCAGCCCAGCAGCCACAGGTGACCACAAGGACAGACTCCATGCCAGCACTCCCGAAGGTAGGGGGTGGAATAAAATTTAAAAAAAATGTGTGTCTGTTAGGGAGTTTGTTTGTGTGTCTGTCAAACATTATATGTGTGTTTGTCAGTGAGAGTGTATGTGTGCTTGTCAGTGAGTGTGTATGTGTTTGCCAGTGAGAGTGTATGTGTTTCTGTCAAAGAGTATGTGTGTCTGAGTGTGTCAGTGTGTGTATCTTTGTGTCAAGGTTTGTGTATCTGTCACTGTGTGTATCACACAGTATGACACAGAGATACATACACTGGCACATACAAACACAGATATACACACCTTGATATACACACAGCACATACAAACAGAGATACACACACTTTAAAACATAGATACATACACACACACACACACAGATACACACTGCTGGAGAACAGTGGAACAAAATGGGGGAGGGGAAGAGCCACATTTTCTCATGGAATTAAAGGTGTATAAAAAGTGTGTTACAATCCAATGTGCCACCAATAATGTTTATAAAGGGCAAACTCTCCCAGGGGCCATACACACCAGGGCCATAGTCATGAGGTAGGAGGCTGGCAATGAGGCTTCTCCATAATACAGGGAAGCAGGGCAATTTGTCGCATAAAATAAAAGTTACAAAAGGCATTTTGTAACAATATGTTTTTTGGGTTTTTTTGCAGTGCATTTCAAATTAACATACACACGTGAGGTATCCCAACGGCATTCCTCATGCTTTGGCGAAACAGCTGTAACAATGGGTATACAAAGGTACTTGCACAAATTTTATATTTAATTGGATACCTAAGGAGAGACAGAATGGTGATATATATACCATAGGTTATTAAATATGATTAGGACTAACATGTTAGTTAGTCTGGCTTGCATGGTTATCTAACATGAATAGGAGTAGCATGCTTCAACAATATGAGTAAATAGACTAGTTTTCACTGAAACATGGAAGACAACTTGATTTGTAGTTAGCAGCTCTCAGAGACTATGCATTGCAACATATATATGGTGTGGTAGGTTTGACTGTCAGGACTGTCCATAGACTAAGTGGCTTTAGCTGCACCTTAAGGATGGCCAGTCCGTGGGCACTGTAGCTCTGCAACTGCTATTCAAGAGCCACCGGTTGCCGGGTATCGTTACAAGTGCTATTCGGTAGGTAAGTCCTGCAGCCTCTGGCTGGGCCAGAGACCGCAGAGCCCGGTGCAGGCCCTCCAAAGCCTTGTAACTGCCCAGTCATCCTATGCCCATTCGGGGCCTGGGTCTGAGGCTGGCGCGCAGCGCAGCATTGCGGTGCTTGGTAAGGTTGTTGGTCCAGTCTCGTACCTGCAGAAGGGGCTGTAGCACCCTGTGGGAGATTTGTAGTCCGATAGGGCTCTGGGTCGGCCCCGGTTCGATGCCTTGCATCTCTCCGCGTGTGCCTTGGGGGCCTTCTTTTTATGGGCTTGGGAGCTTTCATGGGCTGGCAGCCATTGTGGAGGCTCGTCGCCAGTGATGTCCATGATGCTGGGTGTGCCCTGGCATGGGCAGAAATCTGTCGGAGCCCGCCTCTTGGTAGGCCCTTCACCGGTCTTAGTTGATTTTCCCCGCCACTCGACTGTGGGCTGCCTGTAGGTGCAGTGTAATGTAATGAGAGTCTTGGTGTGTGGCCCAGGTCTCTGGCTCCGCTTTGGGCCCTTTCCAGACCTCGATGGTAGGTCCCTCTGTGGAACCACTGGATACTGCAGTTGCCGTGGTAGAGCTTTGGGTAGCAGTTCCAGTGTGGGGCTCTGCATTCTGCTGGTCAGCTTGGCCCAGAATTCTGTAAAGATTATTTCGAGCCTGGTCTCCAGATCGAGTTGCTGGCCTGATGGACACGAGGCATCTTAGTTGCGTCGGCATGTCGAGTTTGGTGCCTTAGTCCTGGGCTGTAGGCTATAGTTGCCCAGATACCCCTCTCCGGCAGGGGGGGGGGGGGAGACCTTTGGAGACTGTATGCTGCTAAGGACTGATTGCCAGGAGTGTAAGCCGCTTAGGAGCTTTTCCTGTTCGTCTGGTAGCAGCAATTCGTATGGTTCCTGTTCGTGTATTTGGAGTGCTACCTTATTCCCATGTATGCCGTTCGGGAGTTTGGAGCATTTACTTGTATGCAGTTCGAGTGTTTGGAGCATTCCCTTGTATGCCGTTCGGGAGTTTGGAGCATTCACTTGTATTCAATTCGTGAGTTTTGGTGATTCTACAGTAGCTGTGCCTGTCTCTGAAAGGGGATTATCGTCTAAGCGTTTTTTTTTCCCTTTTGTGCAAAACGGTCCATTACAAGTACCTAGCCTTATCTTATAGTTAGGATAGCCTTATGCCTATCCCACGCATGCTTAAACTCCTTTACTGTGTTAACCTCTACCACTTCAGCTGGAAGGCTATTCCATGCATCCACTACCCTCTCAGTAAAGTAATACTTCCTGATATTATTTTTAAACCTTTGTCCCTCTAATTTAAGACTATGTCCTCTTGTTGTGGTAGTTTTTCTTCTTTTAAATATAGTCTCCTCCTTTACTGTGTTGATTCCCTTTATATATTTAAATGTTTATATCATATCCCCCCTATCCCGTCTTTCCTCCAAGCTATACATGTTAAGATCCTTTAACCTTTCCTGGTAACTTTTATCCCGCAATCCATGAACCAGTTTAGTAGCCCTTCTCTGAACCCTCTCTAAGGTATCAATATCCTTCTGAAGATAGTGTCTCCAGTACTGTGTACATTACTCCAAGTGAGGTCTCACCAGTGTTCTGTACAATGGCATGAGCACTTCCCTCTTTCTACTGCTAATACCTCTCCCTATACAACCAAGCATTCTAGCATTTCCTGCTGCTCTATTACATTGTCTGCCTACCTTTAAGTCATCAGAAATAATCACCCCTAGATCCCTTTCCTCATATGTTGAGATTAGGACTCTATCAAATATTCTGTACTCTGCCCTTGGGTTTTTACGCCCAAGATGTATTATCTTGCACTTATCCACGTTAAATGTCAGTTGCCACAAGTCTGACCATTTTTCGAGCTTACCTAAATCATTTGCCATTTGGCTTATTCCTCTTGGAACATCAACCCTGTTACATATCTTAGTATCATCAGCAAAAAGACATACCTTACCATCAAGACCTTCTGTAATATCACTAATAAAAATATTAAAGAGAATGGGTCCAAATACAGATCCCTGAGGTACCCCACTGGTGACAAGTCCAAGCTTCGAATATATTCCATTAACTACAACCCTCTGTTGCCTGTCACTCAGCTACTGCCTTACCCATTCAACAATATTGGAATCCAAACTTAAAGATTGCAGTTTATTGATAAGCCTTCTATGTGCAACAATGTCAAAAGCCTTACTGAAATCTAGGTAAGCAATGTCTACTGCACCACCCTGATCTATAATTTGAGTTACCCAATCAAAAAAATCAATAAGATTAGTTTGACATGATCTCCCTGAAGTAAACCCATGTTGTCTCTGATCTTGAAATCCATGTGTTTTTAGATGTTCAACAATCCTATCCTTTAACATGGTTTCCATCACTTTCCCCACTACTGAAATAAGGCTTACTGGCCTATTGTTGCCCGATTCCTCCCTATTACCTTTCTTGTAAATGGGCACAACATTTGCTAACTTCCAATCTCCTGTTAACAATGATTGGTTAAATAAATCTGTTAATGGTTTTGCTAGTAAACCACTAAGCTCTTTTAATAGCTTTTGGGTGTATTCCATCAGGTCCCATTGACTTATTTGTCTTTACTTTTGACAGTTGAAATAGAACCTCTTCCTCTGTAAACTCATGTGTAATAAATGACTAATTTATCCTTTTTCTTAACTGAGGTCCTTTTCCTTCATTTTCATCTGTAAATACAGAACAAAAATATTCATTGAGGCAGTCAGCTAGACCTTTATCCTCTTCTACATACATTTCTTCTTTTGTTTTTAATCTAACTAATCCTTGTTTTACTTTTCTTTTCTCATTTAACCCCTTAAGGACACAGCTTCAGAAGCTTGACTTACGCTTAATGACACAAGCAATTTTTGCATTTTCTTGCTGTTTGCGTTCAACTGCAATTTGCATCTCTCTCATTTATTACACCGACACATATGATATACTGTTTTTTAAAGGACAGAAAGGGCTTTAATTTGATATAACATATATATATATATATATAAATGCTTACTTATTATAAAAAAATACAGAAAAAATGCAAAAAAAATGAAAAATATTGTTTTTTTTTACAGTTTTTGCAATAATAATGTGTGCATAATTAGTGCAGGTTAAGGAAAGTAATTAAAAATAAATTTATTTATATTTTCTGATTTACAGAATATATAATGTGTCTGGGATTTTGTTTTTTTTGGTAGTTACAGGTCACAAAGCACAAGGAGTAAAATAAACTTTTAATGTGGAGCGATTTTAGAATTTGGTATGTTTGTCTTGTAAGCTTAATAGCCATAAAAGAAAACAAAATTGCCACACAAAAGTATATATTTATATAAAGTAGACATCACAGGCTATTTACCTAGGGTTGTTTTGACACTTTCTACGTAGCCATTTCACCGCCAACCTCTGCTAAATATTGGAGTAAAATTGTGTTCTTTTTGGTTTTTGGCACACAAACTTATAACAGAGAAATTCTCGTGTATATTTTGTAAAGTTGGTGTGTGCTATTCCTGTACAAAGTTTTATTTTGTGTTCAGTTACATCTGCTGAGTAAAATGACACCCCCATTGTATGTCTTTTGCACTATTTCGTGAAGTTACAGTGCCATACAGGATACCTGTCCTTTTCAGTATTCACAGTAGAATTTTGAGAGATGAATTTAATGAGCCTTAGCTTCCATTTGGGGTATTATAACAGTTTGACTGTTCAAAAAAACCCCACAAAGGCCTACCATTTGTAAAAGTAGACACTCCAGGGTATCTTATAAGGTGCATATTGTGCCTTAACATGCCCCCATTTTTTCACCAATATATGCCAAAGTATGTGGTAAAAAATAATTTTGTGCATTTTTTACATACGGATTGCATTTTTGCTGGGCGTTTTGTATATTTCATATGTGCCACTAAGTTCAAACCCCCCAAATTATGCTCAGCTAAGTCTTCTGAGTAAAATGACACCCCATATGAATGTCTTTGGCACTATTTCGTGAAGCTACAGTGCCATATAGGAGACCTGTCCTTTACAGTATTCACAGTAGAATTTTGAGAGATGGATTTAATGAGCCTAAGCTTCCATTTGGGGTATTATAACAGTTTGACTGTTCAAAAAAACCCCACAAAGGCATACCATTTGTAAAAGTAGACACTCCAGGGTATCTTATAAGGTGCATATTGTGCCTTAACATACCCCCATTTTTTCACCAATATATGCCAAAGTATGTGGTAAAAAAATTATTTTGTGCATTTTTTACATACGGATTGCATTTTTGCTGGGCGTTTTGTATATTTCATATGTGCCACTAAGTTCAAACCTCCCAAATTATGCTCAGCTAAGTCTTTTGAGTAAAAATACACCCCCAATGAATGTCTTTGGCACTATTTTGTGAAGCTACAGTGCCATATAGGAGACCAAGCCATATCCGTTTTTACCAAACTTTGAATTTTGACGCTGGGCCTATGTGCAATTTCCAAGCATCTTCGCAGGTTTTAAATTCAAACTACCCCACAAAGGCCTACCATTTCTTAAAGTAGACACCCCAGGGTGTTTCAAAAGGTATAGTTTGAACCTTAGCGTGGGATCATTTTTCCGCTAGCTTGTACCAGATGTAGTGGTAATAAGCGTTTTTTCTGCCTTTTTGACATACAAAGTGAGTTTGCACAGTATATTTTGCAAACCTTATGTGTGCTACGACTGTATAATACTTCATATGTTGCTCAGCTATGTCGGCTGAGTACAGCAATACCCCCGTATGTACCTTTGCCAGGTATGTGTGGACATCGGAGGGGCACATTTGGGACACAGCCATTCCAGTTTTTTTCAAACTTTGAATTTTTATGCTGTGCCTATGTCCCATTTTAGAGTATTTTACCAGGCTATATAATCCAAATTCCCCATAAAGCCATACCATTTCTTAAAGAAGACATCCCAGGGTATTTCAAAAGGCATATTTTGAACCTTAGCGTGGGATAATTTTTCCGCTAGCTTGTACCAAGTGTAGTGGTAATAAGCATTTTTTCTGCCTTTTTGACATACAAAGTGAGTTTGCGCAGCATATTTTGCAAACCTTATGTGTGCTATGACTGTATAATACTTCATATGTTGCTCAGCTATGTCGGCTGAGTACAGCAATACCCCCGTATGTACCTTTGCCAGGTATATGTGGATGTTGAAGGGGCGCATTTGAGACGCAGCCATTCAGTTTTTTTCTAACTTTGAAGTTTTACGCTGTGTCCATGTTCCAATTTGGAGTAGTTTAGAAGGTTGGTTATTGAAACTTCCCCACAAACACATACTATTTATTAAAGAATACACCCTGGGGTAATTCAAAAGGCATATTTTGAACCTTGGCGTGGGATAATTTTTTCTCTAGTTTGTTCCAGTGGTAATGAGCGTTTTTAAAATGTATTTTTTTACTTTTTATAACTTTTTTACTTTTAAAAACTATTTTTTAAACTTTTGTTTTGCTTATAAATTTTTTTTAAACTTTCCTAAACTTTCTTAAAACTTTTTACAGATTTAACATTTTTCTAAGCTTTTTTTTTTACCGTTAACCCCTAGCTAGCAGTACGCAGCACTAACAGTAAATTCCCCATTTTCCCATAACTCCCACCCACCCCAGCTAGCAAAATATATAGTTATAAAATATTTTAATTAATTAAATAAATTGAACCCCTGAGGGTTAAAAAAAATAAATAAAAGTTAATCCTCAGGGGTTAAAAAAAATTAGATCACAGTATAATACTGTGATCTCTATTTGATCGCTGTAGGCAGTGATCGACTGGCAGGGAAGGGGTTAATTTTTATTTGGACTAGGTAAAGTGTGTTTTTTTTGTTTTTTTTTTACTTAAATGTTATTAAAACATTTTTTTAAGCTTAATTTTTAACTTTTTAAAGTTTCTTTTAAAACTTTTTTTTTAACGTTAACCCCTAGTTAGCCTAACGCCAAATCCCCCAATTCCCCACTAACTTCCACCCACCCCAGCTATCTAAATATATAATTTAAAAATAATTTAATTAATTAATTTAACCCCTGAGGGTTAAAAAAAAAAAAGAATTAACCCTCAGGGGTTAAAAAAAAAAATCAGATCATAGTAAAATGTAATCCCTGCCAATTGATCACTGTAGTCAGTGATCAATTGGCAGGGAATGGGTTAATTTTTTATTAAAATGGGTAAGGGGGGGGACACTTTAAATTAACTTTATTTTTTTTTCCAGCAGGGGGGCAGGATCATCACTGATCCGGCTCCCTGCACTTCACACAGAACCCGGAAGTGCAGGGAGCCGGTAGGTGAGTATACAGAGCACATGTGCTCGCTCTGACTTGCGGTCAGAGCGAGCACATGTGCTGGGCAGCCTGACCGGGTGCTCCCGGTATGCCTCTAATGCAGAGGCATACTGGGAGCACCATTAACCCCGCGATCGCCGCGATCGCCGCGATAGCGGCGATCCGGGGTTAATTTTACCGCGTGACGGACGAGGTCCGTCACCTGTCGTTAAGGGTCTCCCCTCTGTGACGGACCTCGTCCGTCACCCGTCCTGAAGGGGTTAAGTATCTAAAAAATGTTTTGTCCCCCTTTTTTACTGACTGTGCTATTTTCTCTTCTGTGTGTGATTTGGAAGCTCTTATAACTTGCTTAACCTCTTTCTGCCTAATCTTATAGCTCATTTTGTCTTCCTCTCTCTGTTTTTTTTTTTTTTTATAATTCCTAAATGTTTGTTTTTAACTATTTTGGCCACATCTGCGGAGTACCACAGTGGTTTCTTGAATTTTTTGCTTTTACTGACAAGCCTAATGCAATTTTCTGTTGCCTTCAATAGTGCAACTTTTAAATAATCCCATTTCTCTTGGACTCCATTTAAATTGCTCCAGTCTGATAATGAATCCTTTACACATATTCTAATTTTAGAAAAATCTGTTTTTCTAAAGTCTAAAACTTTTGTTTTTGTGTGGTGTGACTCAGTCACTGTTCTTATATTAAACCACACTGACTGATGATCACTGGATCCTAAACTTTCACCTACAGTAACATCTGATACCAAATCTCCATTTGTTAACACTAAATCTAGTATGGCCCCTCTACGAGTTGGCTTCTCAACAACTTGTTTTAGAGACAATCGCAGTAGGGAGTTTAGAATATGTGTGCTCCTGGCACAAGTAGCTAAATTTGTTTTCCAATTTACATAGAAACATAGAATGTGACGGCAGATAAGAACCATTCGCCCATCTAGTCTGCCCAATTTTCTAAATACTTTCATTAGTCCCTAGCCTTATCTTATAGTTAGGATAGCCTTATGTCTATCCCACGCATGCTTAAACTCCTTTACTGTGTTAACCTCTACCACTTCAGCTGGAAGACTATTCCATGCATCCACTACCCTCTCAGTAAAGTAATACTTCCTGATATTATTTTTAAACCTTTGTCCCTCTAATTTAAGACTGTCCTCTTGTTGTGGGAGTTTTTCTTCTTTACTGTCTCCTTTACTGTGTTGATTCCCTTATGTATTTAAATGTTTCTATCATATCCCCCCTGTCTTGTCTTTCCTCCAAGCTATACATGTTAAGATCCTTTAACCTTTCCTGGTAAGTTTGATCCCGCAATCCATGAACCAGTTTAGTAGCCCTTCTCTGAACCCTCTATAAGGTATCAATATCCTTCTGAAGATACGGTCTCCAGTACTCCACCAGTGTTCTGTACAATGGCATGAGCACTTACATCAGGAAGATTAAAGTCACCCATGATGATAACTTCCCCTTTCATTGTCATTTTAGCTATTTCCTCAACTTGTAGATTATCTAACTCTTCAACTCTTTGTCCTGGGGGCCTATAAATCACACCTACACGAGTTACTGTGTGATTACCAAATTCTAACGTAACCCAAACGGACTCTGTTTGCCTCACTAACTTTTATTAGGCTAGATTTTATGCTATCCTTCACATACAGGGCCACCCCACCCCCTTTCTTGCCTTACCTATCTTTTCTATATAAAGAGTACCCTGGTATTGCTATGTGTAATGTAATTGTTTATAGTGTGTGTACTGTGAAATGTATTGCCTGCTCTCCTGTACTGCTGATGATTGCTACCAACTTGGTGCATTTGACTATGGAGTCTGTGTAGTGCCCTCTGTTGGTAGCAACAGCAATATGCACTACCTGAATAGCAAGGCTAGTTAATTTGCATATTCAGGTAGACTTGCATGTTGCTAATTCTGCAGGCAGGAGAGATATTTTCTGTTAATTATGGTCTTCCCCACCCCTTTATAAATGTGTCACTGTGTTATAATAAGTTGCTGTATGTTGTCTGCTATGATTTGACTGTTTGTATATTTATTGAATTGTCACAGCAATCTTAATGTAATAATCATATGGGCTAGTCCCGAGAAAAATAAAGGACACTTGTAGGGATCCCAGTGATAATCTTCGGTCCTGTTTGCTGGTTGCAGGGTCCCTCTAGCCCTGGGATAAAGCAATAGAGCTTTATATACCATTGCAGGTGGATGTGGATACCTGCGTGGAAGGAGAGCTGCAGCCTGGTCTGATGGAAAAGCTCTATAAGGACCCCAGTCAAGCTTCAGTGACTGGGGCTGAAGCACTCCAGGGTCCCTGCAAGTGGATCGGAAGCGGACTGGACGGAGGTCAAAGTACAGGAGCTCGGTCACACCTACCATCTCTTTTATAGTAGTTCTCTTACAGTTAAGGAGGTCACAACAAGCAGGCAATTTAAAGAATGGACAGTTAAAATCCCTGGCAAGCTGGACATATATACTACAGTGTAGCTTAGAAGGCATTTCCTAGCTTGATACATTCCAGTGGAGCTATGAGAAACTGCATAGTTAAGCAAGTTGCACTTCAGGTTTAAGGATATGGTCATAGGTTTGGATGTGTGAGAAAAAATAAAAAGTGGATAGAATCAGAAAATCTAACAAAAAACTATGAACAAGGATCCATCTGAATGGATCTGAAATGGTCAGGATGGATAACACATGGCTAAGGGGAGTGGCGTTTCATCAGACATTAAGCTATATTAATGTTTTTGTTTTTTTCATATGTCAGTAGGTCTCTGACCCACTAGCTAAACATAGGTAATAGTGGTAGAGTCATTAAGAATCGTTCGGGCAGTAGGCTCTTGAGGACAAAATAATTTAAAAAAATAAAGTTTAACTATAAGCCAAGAAGCTCCTATCAAGAGTGTTTATAACTGAGATAGCCTGATGCAGTCACCTAACTGTAGCTGAGGTAGACCAGTCTCTGGTAATTCGCATTCAAGATCATTGCCGGGTTTTTGGTCCTGGTGTTAAGTTGGGTATGATTACTTGAATATTCCATTCAGCAAGCATTCAAAGGCCCTATTCCAAGGTGTATATATGAAGGTCAGCTCCATTGCATCAGAGAAAGAGATGGGCTGGTCAGGGGCCGACTGAGTCCTCAGGCAAATCGGTCATGGACCAAGGGCCTGAGGCTCTTGGGGGCACACGCGTGGTGCTGTAAGTAATGGCTCAGCTGAGAAGTTCAACAAGCTCTCCAGCCAACCTGCCTCCCTTAGAGCCCCTGTACCTACTTAAGAGCATTCTCCCTTTGTTAAACTATGCTGCAGTGGCAGTCCCGGCATAGCACACTAACGGGCAGCTAATGGGGCCTTCTCAAAGACCCACTAGGCTGCCCCTCTGCGTGCCTATCTCTAGGTAGAAGAAATGTACCTAACATGCAGGCTGCTCTGTGCAGGTCATTCTCCAGGAAGTGACAACATGTGTCACAGTGCTGCTTTGTGGAGCTGCCTGATCAGTATCTCCAAAGAGCAACGTTCAGCATCTTCAGTTTGTGTGCCTTGCGCCCCCCTTGGCCGGACAGAACATCAGTGAGGGATTTTCAGGCCAGCAGGAATAAGAATTCCCCCCTCCCTGGCCAAAGGTAAAACTCAAGGAGGGGGGGAATAGATTATTTACAAATAGTTTAATTATCTAATTATCCCTACTAATGACCCATCACAGCTTTTTATCCCTCCAACCCCCTACCAACCAAATCCCCTATACCTCACTACACTAATTACAACTCCTATTATCCCTGGGCACCCACTACAGGCCCTACACTCTTGCACCCACTAGAGCTTTACCTTCCTGCACCCTTTTTATCCCCTGCCTCCAGGCACACACTACAGCCCCTATACCCCTACACACTGCACCCTCTGCAGCCCATCCCCCCAGGAACCCTCTGCAGCCCATCCCCCCAGGAACCCACTACAGCCCCTACCCCCTGAACTCTCTACAGCCCATACCCTTCTGCACCTACCACAGGTACTAGTACCCCTAGGCACCTTCTAGAGCCCCTATACCTCCTGCACCCTTACAGCCCCTTCCTCCAGACACATTCTAGAGCCCCTGCCACCATACACCCTTTACAGCCCCTACCATCCTGTACCTTCTAGTAACCCAGGACTAGTACCTCCTGCACCCTCTAGAGGCCCTGTACCTCCTGCACCCTTACAGCTCATTCCCCCAGACACCTTCTAGAGCCCCAGGCACCCTTTACAACTCGTATCCCCTTGCACCCTTTACCTACCCCTGCAACCTCTAGAATCCCGATACCTCCTGAACCCACTACAGCCTCTATGTCCCAGCACTCTCTACAGTCCCTATCCCCATGCACCCACTACAGCCCTTCCACCCCAGGCACCTCTAGAGCCCTTACTCCCATGCACCCACTACAGCTCCTAATCTCCCTGCACCTTGTAGAGACCCTATAGTCTCATGCACCCACTACAGGTCTTAGTACCCCATGTACCAATTACAGTCCCTACTTCATGCACCCACTACAGCCCCTATCCAGGGCACTCAATACAGCTGTTACCCCTATGCACCCACTACAATTCCCATTACCCCTTTAATGGAGCTCCCTGTATCCCAGCTGGGTACCTTCCTATCTGGAATGGGTACAAACTGCAGCACTTTTGCCCACAGTCCCTGTGGCTTTACTGGGGTCCTGAAACTACTCCCTCCTCGAGCAGAATGGGGAACTTGCTATATCCACCCCAAGGCACTGGACGTCACACAGTTCTGGGAGATCTAGTCCTTACAAAGACTTTCCCCATGGTATCCTCCACACTGGAACAAGCTGGAGTAGTAATTAGCCCTTTCCCTTCCCAGTAACCAGACGACACATAGATCTGGGAGTACAAGCTGGAATGTTTTAATCTGGGCAAATGGCCTGCTTTCATACAATTTCAGATACAGTTGCATGCCCCTGACACTCCCACACAAACAGGATAATCCCTCTCTACCAGTTTACAAGTTACAAACTCCATCTCTGTGCATGAGAGTTAATTGAGTCAGGAACTGAACTAACTAAATTATCTCCAGGCACAAAAAAACATACAAAATTACAAAACCCACAAAAAACACATAAAAGTTACATCCCCCGATAGCCCGATCTAGGTGACCAACATATCCAAAATCACCCAGATCGGTTCAGGGGTTCGGGATTTCCTTGGAGGTCATAATTTTGTCCGACCATGCACATGGTCCTATGCCCAAAACAGTTCCATGAAATCATGGCTAGCAGTCAGTCTAGTTCGGTAGTTAATAAAACGAACAAACTACCGAACATAGTCTTACGGTTTTTAACGTCTTTTGGGCAAAACGGTCCGTTACATCCTGCACTTAATACAGCCCCTATTACACCCATGCACCCTATCCCTTCCTGCGCCCACTACAGCCCCTATGTCGTTTAGCACATATTTCAGCCCCTATGCTCCTACACACACTATAGCCTCTATATCCCCCACAAACAGTAGAACCTAAAGACTCTATTACACACACACATAGTACAGCATCATTGAACACACTGCATCTATCCTATAAACACTGCAACACAACAAACCTCACTACTCACATACTACACTGGAAACAGCCCCATCCACACACGCAAACCCATGATTATCCTCACAGTATACACACACTCCCTCAAGCAGCATCCCCACACATGCAAACCCACATGCAGCCTCCCTAAAAATACACATCACAAGCAGCATCCCAACCATTGCAATACTGCATCCTT